TACATACATTACATTACATACATACATACATACATACATACATACATACATACATACATACATACATACATACATACATACATACATACATACATACATACATACATACATACATTACATACATTACGTACATACATACATACATACATTACATACATGCATTACATACATACATACATACATACATACATACATACATACATACATACATACATACATACATACATACATACATACATTACATACATACATACATACATACATTACATACATACATACATACATACATACATACATACATACATACATACATACATACATACATACATACATACATACATACATTACATACATTACATACATTACATACATACATACATACATACATTACATACATTACATACATTACATACATTACATACATTACATACATTACATACATACATACATACATACATACATTACATTACATTACATTACATTACATTACATACATACATACATACATACATACATACATACATACATTACATAACATACATACATACATACATACATACATACATACATACATACATACATACATACATACATACATACATACATACATACATACATACATACATACATACATACATACATACATACATACATACATACATACATACATACATACAACATACATACATACATACATACATACATACATTACATACATACATACATACATACATACATACATACATACATACATACATACATACATACATACATACATACATTACATACATACATACATACATACATACATACATACATACATACATACATACATACATACATACATACATACATACATACATACATACATACATACATACATACATTACATACATACATTACATACATACATACATACATACATACATTACATTACATTACATTACATTACATTACATTACATTACATTACATTACATTACATTACATTACATTACATTACATTACATTACACATTACATTACATTACATTACATTACATTACATTACATTACATTACATTACATTACATTACATTACATTACATTACATTACATTACATTACATTACATTACATTACATTACATTACATTACATTACATTACATTACATACATACATACATACATACATACATACATACATACATACATACATACATACATACATACATACATACATACATACATACATACATACATACATACATACATACATACATACATACATACATACATACATACATACATACATTACATACATACATACACATTACATACATACATACATACATACATACATACATACATACATACATACATACATACATACATACATTACATACATACATACATACATACATACATTACATACATACATACATACATACATACATACATACATACATACATACATACATACATACATACATACATACATACATACATACATACATACATTACATACATACATACATACATACATACATACATACATACATACATACATACATACATACATACATACATACATACATACATACATACATACATACATACATACATACATACATACATACATACATACATACATACATACATACATACATACATACATACATACATACATACATACATACATACATACATACATACATACATACATACATACATACATACATACATACATACATTACATACATACATACATACATACATACATACATACATACATACATACATACATACATACATACATACATACATACATACATACATACATACATACATACATACATACATACATACATACATACATACATACATACATTACATACATACATACATACATACATACATACATACATACATACATACATACATACATACATACATACATACATACATACATACATACATACATACATACATACATACATACATACATACATACATACATTACATACATACATACATACATACATACATACATACATTACATACATACATACATACATACATACATACATACATACATACATACATACATACATACATACATACATACATACATACATACATACATTACATACATACATACATACATACATTACATACATACATACATACATACATACATACATACATACATACATACATACATACATACATACATACATACATACATACATACATACATACATACATACATACATACATACATACATACATACATACATACATACATACATACATACATACATACATACATACATACATACATACATACATACATACATACATACATACATACATACATTACATACATTACATACATACATTACATTACATTACATTACATTACATTACATTACATTACATTACATTACATTACATTACATTACATTACATTACATTACATTACATTTACATTACATTACATTACATTACATTACATTACATTACATACATACATACATACATACATTACATACATATACGCGCAATTACGTACATATACGCCCATCTGCGTAGATATGCATACATATGCATACATGTACATGCATCCGCCTACAACTGCATACATATACGTACATATACACACACAGCCTTAGCCCTAGTTTTGCAGGTTTTCCGGGATAGTCAGCTTCAGAGTCCTGATGTGGCAGAAGGTGGCAGGTGAAGAAATGTTTGACAAAGGAATCCTACTCTGGATGGACGACATCCTGCACCAGTTTGGATGGATGACAAACGATGATTTCTGGGGTAAGCCACCTACCAACTAATGCAGGATTCTGCCCACCCACAGCACCACAGTATGGAATCGGAGCCCACTTGAAACTGGTGGGTCGGTTCCTCTTACGGAAACATGCAAGAAAGCAACCTGCCAGCAAGCATGGTGCGCAGGCTATGGAAGAGCTCTCAATGTGTACAGTTGGTATACACCCAACAAATTGAAAGGGGGTTGCAACCCAGAAATACACCGCAGGTACACTCTCAGAGTGTGTTTTGTGAGTGTACCTGTTCGACTTGTTCCCCATGGGAAAATCAGATGGGTGTTTTGGCTCCTAGCCTGCCCAACCAGGGAGGATAGTTCTCCGGCTTGGGAGCCAAACTGGATGGAAGAAGCCAAGCTCAGATTGGTGCTTGAAACCCTTGGGCAGTAACTCTGAAAGAGACTGCTACAAATCTTGTCCGTGCACCAAGGACTATGAGGAACCCATTGTGCATACACACCGGTGACATCGGTGCAGGGAAGACATATGGCATAATCCAAGGAAGGCACTAAAGATTGTGACAGATTGCAGGCGAGAGGGTTTTTTGGCTTGAACACTGAGCTCCACCTTCAAACAAGGGCTGAACTGAGTCCCATGGTGCACAGGCTTCGTTTGCTGGATCCTGAATGCGCTGTCCGAGCATGGAGGCCCTGAGTCCGAGACAAAGCGCGTCGAAAGGGAACCGCAACTTGTGTAGAGGAATTGAACATGCAACCGGGTACACCAACCTGCCTCCTGATCATAGGACAGCAATGTGTAATTATTTTGCAACTTGTAATTCTTTAAGCCTTCTTTATCTTGCCCTTCAAGGTGACCGAAACCGGACTGGTTCTTCAAACCCATTCCCTTTTGCTCAAAAAAGAACGGCGCGCCGCAGCGAAGTAGATGTAGTAGTGGGTGACCAAGGACCAGTTGGCCGGCCTTGGTGCAGGATGGCCCAACCCTCCGCCTTCCGGTTTCCACGGACGAAAAGGCGCACCCCAAAATCACTTGGTACAGCTGGTACACGTAGAAACCCTTTGAAACAGCCGGCAACGGCGGTCTTCTTACCAAGTAAATATCATCCATGAAGCCCCCTGGAGAAAGAAAAAAAACAGTGCTTAAGCAGATGGAAGATATGGCAACAGATTCTTCCGAAGTTGGTGCCAAAGGAAAGCGGGAGCCCGGAGCTTGGCACTAAGAAGTGGCAGACTGCTGCCTGACGCCTTCTTTCTGCGATCCCGTGCGTGCTTGATCAGTGAGGGTCCCATTTTGGATGGAGTCCTTTACTTTTGGATGAAGCACCCCTACAAATCCAGGTTGACTGACATCAAGAAGCGGTCCCGCTCATTTGTGGATTGTTCTGTGCCAAAGGAAACCTCCGTAAAGCACACCCCTGCCAGTCTTACACCCACCTCCAAAAAGGGTTTCCGGTTTGTGGTTTCCAAAAGGTCCTGCTTCAAGTGGCCAAAGCGGGCTTTGAGGAGGCCCAGACTTCGCAGACTTCGTAGATCAACTCGAACCCTCTCGCGACTCATCCCCCCCCGGGTCTACCGTTTTTCCTGGTGCTGCGAACGGTGTCTCCTTTCAGTGAGACGAACGAGAGCTGCGCGTCAAAGGTCGATAACACATCTGCGAATGATCTTCAAAGAGCTCAATGTCACAAAACGGATACTCCGTATTTAACCTCACCGCCATATTTGAGTGCATGAAAATTTGGGACCCCCCAAACGGGTAGCCTTCCCCTAGATTTCCCTTTAACCCCAGCTTCCGCTCCTCACCCGCACCCGCGAGCGCGCTGTCGAGGCCGGCGCCGCGCGCTTTTGACGCGCGACGCGCGGCCGCGCGCGGGCGCCGCTCTGCGGGGCGACAGCACCTCCGGGGCGCCCTGGAGCGCCCCGGGACAAAACCGAACGGCTGTTGCCAGGGGTCGCGCCCACTTATCCACAAACAGCCACTTTTTGAGCCATTTGAGGCACTCTAAGTGCATGGAAACCATGGCTCCGAAGCCAACGGGCTCCGATATTGGGCGCGGCCCCCCATGTCGCGTGCGACCCGGGCAGGCATGGCTACATCCTGCCGGGCGATGCACGCGTGGAATCCGAAGAGCCCCTAGGCATCCGAAAGGAACGATGGAAACATGTGCTGTGCTTCGTGATTCATTGATGTAATGATCTGGGCGAGCTACAATTCACCTGGAACGAGGGACCCCCCCAAGACGTTGTGTCGCTAATAGGCCCAAGAAGCTATGGGGTCTTAGCCCCAAAGACATGCACGGCTCTTCGTAGCAGACTGTCCTGCCATTCCATCAAAACTCAACGGTATCTCCGCGGGAAAATCTAAACCGAGGCTGCTCCCCCCACCCACAGGGGAGAGTGAGCCGCTACATTCATATCATGAGATCGTCCTGCACTGCGCTGCTATCACCGCCATTGAACCTCACAAGCAAAAAAATGCAATGGAGCAGGCCCAAATGGAGTCCTTCTCTTAATCAGGGCGTGCCCAACCTCATGTGACTAGAGTGAGCTTCCAATGGCTGCCTCCCCAGCTCTTTTGTGTCGAAAGGGATTCTGGCTGGAACAGGTGGTCAAACTTGCTCAGACCGCTCTGGTGTATAACAAGTATCTGTCCGGGGGAATGGTCAAAAATCAAGCGTCCAAGAATGGACCTGCAAGAAGGGAACCCTCATGCGGGTTGACAGCCTCCCTGTGTGCAACCACGTCCGTCCAAAACAAGCGGACACATTAGCCAAAACCCACCTGGAGCCCCGAAAGGCCACTTTGTTTTGGTCAGGAGGCGCATTTGGCCCGTGCTTTACCGGGAAGGTTGATGTGTTTTTCGGTCATTTGCCCTATTTGCCTGCAATTTGCCGTTTAAACAAAGAAAAAGGCGATAACATATTGAAAAGAAAACGAAGAAAAAACGTATTTGGCCGTATGAACATGTTGTTCGGGCAAAGCCTTTTGACCAAAGGAATGGCAGCCTTTTGTACCATCTAGCTGCTCCCAAGTGAAGCTTGTCTTGAGCATCCGCGCGTCAACCAACCAACGGTTCACTCTTGGGTGGCAAGGGCCAAATATTGGGGCCTCTGACCCAGCGGTCCTATGTTTGATGGCAGAAGTGACTATGCTGCTTCTGTTTAGAGTATTCGCTTGCTCCAGCAACGAGCAATCCCATGCCCAAATCACCAAATCACCAAATTACAAAGCACACACAACTTAGCGCTACAAATCATTCCTGTACGCCATATACCCCATGAACCCACCTGGGACTCGAAATCGTTCTAGTTACCTTTTGGGTTTCCCTTCTTACCAAAGGTTACCCTCACATCTTTCCTGGAGGGTCCCACCCCCCGAAACCTCTCCCCGCCCACCTCTCAGCCAAAAAACCGGTCGCCCCAGGTCACCACGAGGCCGTCCTTACGCAAAGCCGCGAAGGCGGACCAGGAGCCCAGCACCGACTCCACGTTCTGCAGCTCCTCTATAGCCCCGTCGGAATCGAGCCCAGGTTTCTGTCAGAAACCCATGGGTGTGTCAAAATGGCGTGTCCAAACCCATGGATTCCAAGTGCTGGGTTTCAATGGTTTTTCTCCTTTCTTCAGGCTTTTCCTGAGCAAGGCGACTGGCCCCAAGAGGCAAGCCCGTGTGTTCGAACTATGCGAAAATCGCCAAGCGGACAGAACGGAGACCCCAAAGAAGCAGCCGCCATCATCGGCGAACTAGCTTTTCCTCGAAGGTGAGTTCAATGTAACTTGAGCAGATTCATGAGGCTCGCGGAATCTGCAAGCTATGGATGCCCTTCGGGTACCCAATGCAACGCATTGAAAGGCCGGGGTGTTCCTAGGAAAGCCGGGGACATGACACCTGTCCCTTTTCTCCGCTACGCTGGGCGTTGCCTTCCGGCTGGGAATCATTTTCATGTTTTGCCTTGCAGGCCGAGCTGGGAAAATATGATCTGGCTGTGTGGGAGGGGCAAGGAGATGACAAAAGAAGGCAGAACAAATTTGCCACTCTGACTGTTTACAGTTCTAGGCCGGCTTGGGCTGAGCAAAATGAGCATCTGCGCTGCTTGTGCGCAACCCAACGCTGTCATTCTGCAAGAGTTCCATTCTAGGCTGAACTGTTTGCAGATTGTGATAAGAAGCTTGGGTGCAAGGAAGCAAGCACGAGCTTCTTGAGACAAAATCAACACTGGGGCAACTGTCCACTGCGACCCAGGGTTGTCCATTTCGAAAGAAACTCCCCCAACAAAAAGGAAACGAAAGAAACATGTCCTTTTTGGCCTTTTTCTACAAACCAGCAGAAAGAACACTGCAAAGGGGTAAGTTTGGGGGGCCTGGGGGCAATCCCACGCCCCCTGTTTCACATGTCTTTGGTTGGGCTTCTTCTTGAAATAAGCCCTCCCCTTCAAAGAAAACTGAAGGAAACTCACCAGGAGACCAAATCTTCAACCCCCAAACAAGCGGCAGACTTTTTCCGCACCCCCACCCCCACATTGAATAACACACACACACACACAAACAACACACACACACAGCCTTCGCCCCTTCACCCTCCTGGCGCGCTCAGATGCGATCAAAAACCCGCGCGCGCCTGCTGCACCTTGGAGGAGTCCCCGCCGAACGAGGCTTTGCCCCAGGTGACGACGGAGCCATCCGCCTTCACCGCCGCGAAGGCCGCGTCCGTGGAGGCCACCTGACAAGACGCGAGGCGAGGCGACAAGACGACGAACCAAACGCGTTCGTGGGGGTGGGGGTTGGGGGTTGGGCGGGGTGCGGGGGTCGGGCGGGGGGGGGGCATCTGTTTTGTTTGGAAGAGGAGAAACCAGTCTTTGCTTCTCGACTCAAATTTCGTGAACAATACATACCACGCTTTGGATGAGGCTTGCACACCCAAAGCGGAACCCTTGCCATCTCTTTGTTGCAAAACGGATGCCAAATATGTTTAGACCCAGAGGTTTTTTTTGCCAAGCCTTTGCCAATCGCGAAGGTGAGTTCAAGTTCCCCCTTTCCTGCAATTTGAAGGACAAGGACTGCGCGAGTCACGAGTCCCCCATTGTGATTGGCTCGATTCCTCATAGTGCTTGGCTTGGTCTAAACATGTGATGACCAGGGCCTCTTCATCAGTGAGCCCTTTCAGCGCCAAGGCCAGACAACTTACAAACTGTCAAGTGAGTAATGTGCATGGACCCCAACTTTTCGGGGAAACACCGCGGAGTCATCTGGAGGGGTTCATTCCTAGGACCAACCTTCGCCTGCAGCCCCGTCCCCGACCTCTTTCACATCCCGAAGCTGCGCTTGCACCGCGCTGCTGTCGCCACCTCTACCAACGGCGAAGGCAAAGCAATTGGATAATTCTATCTGGTGCTGCGAAATAGCCAATAGACGGGTCCACGAAGAACACCATGCGTTACCTTTCTGAAACAACCATGTCAAAACAGTTCTGCTTGGTAAGTCGCCTGTCAGCAACCAATCTTCCAAAGCGATGGGAAGCAGTGGTGGTGAATGAGAAGGCGAATGGAAACATGCCTCACCCCTCCTACATTTGATCACAATGGATCGGGTGCCGGTCCCAGTGGCATGCAGGGCTTCACCTAGCGATGTGCAAAACTCTGTTCGTTCTGCACCTCGTTTTGCTGCCGCATCAAGCATCACTTCCAAACGCGAAAACGGATCACTTGAACACCCGACGGTGCAACAGCCAGGGATCTGGATTTGTGCGCAGCAACTTGGGGTATGTCTTGGAAGGTGGGCATGCGTAGGGTGGAGCTTTACTAACCTCGAAGGTTGAGCATGACGGGCATTGCGGCATTTGGTCAGTCATGTCCACTTCCAAGCCAAGTTGTGTTTCTTTTCTTTTCTTCGAAGTTGTGGAGGACCAATTTGGGGGGGGGGCAGTGCTTCACCAGCCTGGATGCATGTCGGTTCTCTCTTCTTTGTGCACTGCGCTATTCATGATATACGCGCAGGCAAAAACCCTGACCTATGATGGCAGGAATGCTTGGCCGGATGAACCCCCAAACAAAAGCCAAACCAACTTACCAAACTTTGACAGCTCTGGGCACCGACCTCTTCAGCCTTTGCCCATGTTGCCCCATAAGCCACAAAAAACACCGGTCCCCCAACCAAAAAAAAACAACTCAATCCCTCAACCCCCGGACCCTCAAACCCTCGCACCCTCAGACCCTCGTACCCCCACCCCCCAAACCCACCAACCCCCCACCCCCCTTGCCCCCCCACTGTCCCCCGGAAACCGGCGGTTCGAGGGCTCCCTCGCCTTCCTGGGCGCAGCCCCAGGTCACCACGGTGCCGTCGATCCGCAGCGCCGCCATGGCGCCGCCGGAGCCGCACACATGGCGCACCCCTCGGGGCTCGGCCGCGTTTTTTCTGCGCGCGCGCGTTTTTTGTTAGGTTTTGTTTGGGGGGTTTGGGGGTGGGGGGTTGGTGGGTTTGGGGGGTTTGGGGGTGGGTTTGGGGGTTGGTGGGTTTGGGGGGGGGGGAGGGTTTGGGGGTTGGTGGGTTTGGGGGGGGGAGGGTTTGGGGGTTGGTGGGTTTGGGGGGGGAGGGGATATGATGAAAACTTAGGGTCTGTTTTGCAACCTCCTTCATTAGGGCATTGGATTTTGTGGGGTTCCTGGCTGCAACATAGACCCTGGGTCTTAAGAGTGTTGAATGAGTGCACAGTTTTAACAATTCCATTAGCAAACGACTCATAGGGGAGGAAATCCCAAAATGTGTCTGCTTTGACTTGCTTTTGGGGAGTGGGGGTTCCTGCTGTCTACCTCAGCTTTTGCCCACTCAAAATGATGTACTCTGCTCCGTATTCTCTGAACCTCAAAGTGAAAAGAATGAGACTACGAAGGGCCCAGGAAGGTGCTCTCCTGAATGCCTCACTCTCCCACTCCGCTCCCTTCCACTCCTCTTCTACCTCCTCCCATTCCGCCACCCACCCCGGGGGAAAAAACAAGTCCCCGCAGCCCCTCTGAAACCCTCCAGAAGCCTCCTGAAAGCTGCCCCAGAGCCTGTCTGGGCAGAGACCCCATAGCTTCTAGCTGTTGAGAAAAAAATACCCACCCCCAACAAACAAACCAGCTCCAACCACACACACCCAACCCCATAAACCTCCCCCCCCACCTGGCAGCGGGTTGGTTGGCGGCAGCGTGGCCCCCCACACCACCACCGAGTAGTCAGCCCGCAAGGCCGCGAAGGCACTGCCCGAGGCGAAGATCGCCTCTGCGCGTTCCAACGCGCGGGGCCAACTGGGTGTCAACGCGGACAATTCCGCCCCAGAAAACATAACAATAAAAACATAATAATAATAATAATAATAATAATAATAATAATAATAATAATAATAATAATAATAATAATAATAGTAATAATAATAATAATAGTAATAGTAGAAATTATGATAGTAGTAGTAGTAGTAATAATAATAATAGTAATATAACTAATAATAGTAATAGTAATAGTAATAATAATAGTAATAATAAAAATAATAGTCACTACTGTGGATTGACAAAGTCCACAAAGCCCACCAGCTGGGACGTGAACACTCAAGTTGATACTGCGGATGGATCGAAATCCACAAATTCCTACAGCTGGGATGGATGGATGAAACCCAATTTGCTGGAAGTTGAAAGGGGCGCCAAAAGCCGATTCCCATTGATCATGAGTCGCAAGTGAAGTGCAAAAGAGAGCATGCTCCCACAAATCGGGGGGTTCTTGGATTCAAGGCTAATCTGTAGGCAGTTTGTTTGTCATTGTGTGTTTGGTTGCTTCTTTGTTTGTTGTTTGATTGATGTTTGTATGTTTGTTAAATGTGTTGTTCTTGAACTGGTAGTCACTTGCTCACGTCGCAGTGCTCCCATATTTTTTTAGGTGGGCGCCTGCACTCGCCGCAGTTGTTGCTCCACCTGGCTCACGTCCCCGCCGCAGCCTCCGGCCGAGTGACCCGGAGATTGGATTGTCTCATGGAGAAACCCCCATCTGGGCGGCGTCCCTTTGCCTTCTCTTGCAACCAACAAAACAATAACCTTAAGCGTCTCACAAATCAACCAAACTTGCCAACATTGGATACGTGGACAGAAGCCAATGGTTCTCCAAAATTTGGAAACCACAACAGGACTGGTGAATGAAACATCCTATGTGACATATGCCTGTAGCTGATGTTCTTTGATGGTTTGAACCTTAGTGAGTACCCTCCCGAAGAACGAACGGGCGTGAGTTGGCTCATAGCCTTCGGTTAGCACAGATGTGCCGCTTCGATTTCACCCATTCACTACTTGTTCCAAGTGCGTCCGAAGAAGTGTTTTGATGTACATATATCTATTTGCAATATATATATATATATATATTGTGACAATATATATATATATATATATGCATGCATACTGTTTGATACACCAAATGCATGCTAGGATCAAGCTAGATATCTGGGAAGTGTATGTTGGGGGGGGGGGGGGGTCCGTGGCTTGCTGACTCTTTAAAGAAGCCTTACCGGCTGCATCCTCGGTAAGGATGGAGCGCCCCCGAAACCTAAGCGATAAATATCTTACTAAGCACTGGGCACAGCCTCTACATGAACTAGACATGTCCATGTTCCATTCAAGCTGCAAAGCACCAACTGCCATTTTAGGAAGAAAGAGCACTTGACTTGAAAGTATGAAAAAGAAGCCCGCTTCCAAAAAAATAAGCCCAAGCCAGGTTCCCCAACAACCCCAGAACCCCTGAAACCCTTCCGCAACTCTCCTGGAAAGCCCCGAACCACCCCAAAGCATGGGGCAAGACCGCAAAGCTTTCAGCGAAATGAGGGGGCAGCAACCGCTGGAGCAGCCATGGCAACCTGTCTCTCAAAAGCTGCTACGTCTCGAGGCCTGTGCAGGAACTGGGAAGGAAGCACATCTTAACGTGGCCATGTCTAGGTTGTTCTGTTTTTGTTATTTTTTGGTTTGGGGGGGGGGGGTTGGGATTTACCCCTTTCTGGTTGGCTTTAAAGGGAAACCACAAGGAAGCCACCCGCTTCGGGCTGTCCACCACTTTGAGACCAACCCAGGTGCAGTCGCGAAACTCCCTTCTCTCCTTTGACCCATCTTCAAAAGGCGCTGTCTTTGACTCGGGAAGTCTCTCCCCGACTTTCTCTTGGCCGAAGGCAGGAGTTGTCGTCCGAGGGGCGCTGGTCCCCCCAGCAGATCACCTTCCCATCCTTGCGGGACGAGACCCTTTGAAATCAACGATTTAAAGGTTGAAACACCTTTTGTCTTGCTGGTTCTCAACAGGGAATAAGGCAATGACCCCTATAAACCATCCCCTATGGCTTCCTTTAAGAGAATCCCTAGGTTCATTCCCAACACCCTGACTCATTCCCTACTGAGCACCAGCAAGTTGTTTTCATGAAGGAACAACCCCCTCTCGTGTTCCCGCAATTTTAACAGGGGGCCGACACTGGACGGACCCCTTTTGGTGGGCACTTAAAGGGAGCCCAAAAGGACTTTGAAAAACACCCAAATTTTGCCTGTGCGCGCGTGTTTTTCCCTTTCCTTCCAGTTCGAGGGTACCCTTTTACGTCGGCTTGAAGGGAAACATCAAGGTCCAAAGTTTGGGGGTCCCTGTTTAGAGAAACACCCAAATGGGTTTGTCCCTAAACAGAGCCCACCCGCATTGCGTGGTTCCCTTTCCCCTTGGAAACAACCCTGAAAAGGGTGCTTTTAAAAAGGGACACAACCAAATGTGAGTTTCTCAAACTGGGAGCGTCTCTCTCTCTTGCTTGGTATTTGGAGAGAAACCAAAAGGACACCAACAACTTTGGGGCAAAACCAATTTGACTGTCGCTATGCAAATGCACCTTGATAAATGGAAACAAAGACTAAAGTCTGTGTAGCCCTAGCCCTTTCATGTTTAGCCATAACAGCCATTTTGATAACCCACCCACCCACCCACCCACGCACGCACCTACCCACCCACCCACGCACGCACGCACCCACGCACCCACGCACGCACGCACGCACGCACGCACCCACCCGCCCCTCGCCCACCCCTCCTTCCGCAGCGCCGCAAAGGCGGAGTTGGAGGCCGCCAGCTGAGTGACGTCCATGAGCTGCGACGACACCTGGCTGCTGTCCTCAGCGGGGAGCCACCGAAAGAGAGCGACCGAAGCGAAGCAGATGCGCTGGGGGGGGTCTGGGAAAGGGAAACCGAAGGAAACCTTCGTGGAAACTGGAACTCGGAAGCGAAATGAAATCCGAGACCTAAGGAAACTAGTACACGTTTGATATGACACTTGGTTTGAAACCAAACCAAAACGACCCCCCCCATTTTGCGGGTCCACCTATTGTGACACATACCCAAAAAAAGGCTTCTAAAGGGAAACAAAGGAAACCAGAAGACTGACCTTCCATTGGTGTCCCTTTCCCTGTGGTTCCCCCCTTTAAAACACGGCTCACAGAATCCCCGTCAGGTGCTTGGTCCAGCTGTCAACCTGGGAGTTGACATCTCCTCCGCCCTCTTCCGTCTTCTTCCTTTTGAACCGGAAGGTTTGCCAACTTGGCAAATGAGGTTGAACAGGACAGAAGGCTTGGTTCTCTTCTTGAGGACGGGCCGATATCCCGGGAGCTCGCTCTTAGGCTCTTGAATATCCCACTCAAAACTGGACGTAAAACAGATGCCCTCGCAAATTGTTTGAAGGCGAGCTCGGAACCCCTACAAAATGTGGAGCCCTCAAGAAGTTGATACCATAGATGACCGTCCATCCATCCATCCATCCATCCATCCATCCATCCATCCATCCATCCATCCATCCATCCATCCATCCATCCATCCATCCCGACTGCTGCAAAGTGGATTCTCTTCATCCACAAAACGCATGAGTTGGGATGGATGAATACTGGCTGATAAACCACCAACTGGTGCAGGATTCTGCCCGGGCTGTTTCGGCCCAAAAGAGAGACCTACGTTTACCTTGTAAATGTTACCAAAGGCAGAAAACGAGCACGATGCTGCACGGTATGGTTTGTGATTTGCTCGGCGGTTTACTTTATGGCCCTGGCCATTTCGGACCCTTTTGGGGCCTATTGCCTGGCCAGCTCTGCCATTCCAATCGGAGGCTGCTTTGGGCTTTCCAGCCCTCTCCATTTGGTGGCGAACCAGGCTCATCAACACACGCGCCACGCATTCGGACGAGGCGCGCCGCCATCAGAAGAGGATCCCCAGGCAATCACCTGGGTAACGGAAAGTCGTACTTGGACGAAGGATGTTTTACTTTTAGTTCTTCACTTGGACCTGGGAAACAATGTGAGGGTCGCAAAAAGGGAAAGGCGTTTTGGTGTGTGTTGCTGGAACCCTCTCCATACAGTACGGAAATATGCTTCTTGCTGGAACGACCTTCATATTAGAGTGAGAAAGGCGCTTCCAGCTTAGCTTGTATTCAGCGGCCTTCCACAGTCGGTCAGTTGATTCTTGTTCGGATATGGAAAGACGACATAGGCGGAACAACCTCATGCTTGAGTAAGAAAACCTGTCCTTTCCCTTCCCCTGAACCAAATTGTCTGTACCACAAAAGGGGAAGAGGGTGGGCAGGCATGCGAAATCAGCGCCACCCTCTTTGGCCCGCCAAGAATTGGCCCCTATCTTCTGTTGGGTGCTCAAGGCGCTTCTGTTGGGTCACAGCAATGCTTTAGAGCGCAACTTTCCTGTATCCATGGTTCTAGCTACCCCTTTACAACCCTTATCCCCAGTGTTCAAGGAGATCTCAAATTATAACAACCTTTCCCTGGAGGGGTTCATGCCGATTTTAGAAGAATGCTGGCCCAGGATGAATGCCCTTGCTGGTTTTGATGGGGCCCGGCGTGTCTCATTTTCGAGGAACCCCCTCGCTTTTTGCTTGGGCCCGGGGGCGGGAAGCCCCGTCAGCTCCCCCGATCGTCCAGCGCCATGCGGCGTTTCCGTCCTTCTTCCGCGCTGCAAAGGCGGCGCTGCTGGCGCACAAGTCCACCACCCCCCGCAGCGGCGCCTTGGGTCGACAAACGTTTCGCGAGTCAAGACACGACACATTCGCAAACCAAAGCAGTTGGTTTAGGACTTCCGTTGTGGCCAACCCGCAAACTTGCCCCACGCAAGCACGCAGCACCCACGCACACACTCGCTCACACACACACACACACACACACACACAGACAAACACCACACACACACACGCATCACACACGCATCACTCACTTCTTACCGCCGCAAACAAAGCAAATCGTGCTGACATCATTCGGCTTCAAGAATCATAGCAACCCAGGGCACTGAGGAAATCGTTATCCCCACGACAATATTCAGTTCACCAAACGAGAAGATGAGACATGAACCTGTGTTGATCAACCAACGAAGCTCTGTCAAAGGCTAAGCAAGACACCGCTGCGTGATCCGTGGCTCTTGACATGCGAAACCTATGTCTCAAAACTCTTCTAGGGACCCCTCCAAATAGCATGAAGTGGCTCCTAGTTTGACACGTTCCGATATGTGGTAGGGTCAAAACTCATGGCTCCCGTCATAGGGAAACCCTTCCACGGTCGTCTAAATTCTTACAAGCAAAAACTTCATGATCTTTTATGTAGTGACCCGCAAGTCAAAGGGTGTTTTGCCCAAGGCATATATATATATATATCTATGGCTGTGGGTCAAAACCGATGGTACCATTTTGGGTGTCATTTTGGGGTAGGTGCACCACCTATTTTAGTCTGTTTGAGTGGGGATTGGGATGTTCACTGGGTACGGGATTTTGACCCATGGCACATATCTGAACTGGCTCTACCCAGATTGCAACCAACTTAGCTGATCCAAACGCTTCATTCGCCTTTGGCGGTGCCGGGCGCCGCACCGTCGTCTCACCATAGTTGGGGGCCCCCCACGTGGAGACCTGCGCAGGCAGCGAACAAAATTCGGGAGCCAAGTGGCCCTCAACAAATGCACACGATGTGCATCCCACCAAACCACGCAAGGCTCCAATTTTTCACCAGCGGCGGAATGCTTTGTTGCTGTTGAATCCTCTGCAAAAAGTGTTGCTTTTTGTGGGTCCAACGGACCCATCCACTGTTTCCCAAGAAGTTTAAGTCCAAAGATCCACCCAAATGGCCAGAAAGCATTGTGGTTGCTGATACCCTGCAGCGTGGAGAGGCCGGCTTTTGAACGGCCCCTGTGCCAAGCTCTTGAAGACAGGCCCATGCCAAATGGGTTTGTCTCAGATTTTGGGATCCCAAAAATGGTGGTGGTTCATTCTTGGATTCCCTTTCAAACCAAATGTCAACTTCGAGGGACAAATTTCTCGGAGTCAACTGACGGGGATGCCCATCCAGGTCCAGATATCCGACACCCACCCAATATCCAAACAAGTCTCAAAGTAACTCACGCCGTTGATTGATTTGTTCTCTGCTAAAATAAACTTCGCGGTTTGAGGGCGGCTGAGCTCACTCAAATATCTCTTCTTCTGTTCTGGCTGCAAAGTCGGGCGCAATCCTTCCAGAATCCCACGCGAATCCGGGAACAAACCACATGCAGTGCCGGCGCCCCTTGGGGGCGAAAATCTGGGGATACGCCAACAAGTAACCAACGATTGTCCAAGTCCCCCATTCTGACTTCAGTACGCGTTAGTTGGTGCATGGCCTTTCAATTCGTCATAGCAAGAAATAGCAAACGAGAAGGGCTCGTCCATTGACTACGGATTCATCGACGGTTTTCTCTGGCTCACTGTGTTTTGCTAAGAGACTAGCTGACGCATTTACCAGTCCAGTCGTGATAGTTCATTCTGATTCGCTATGCTTCACGGATAGACGCCAATGTCCGATGATGTCCAAACTGGAAAACATCGAACGCTAGTTGCAATAATGAACAAGAGAGAAACCTAAATGTAGAAAGGTGTGTGAAGACTAGCGTGAGCATTCTCAAATCATAGTGAACTTTAGTGGACATCACAAGTAGCAAGTAGGCAACGAGAGTGCGAACGCTTGCGACATTCGGTAAGCAACACCGACGTGGCTATGATAACAAAGGGAAACATTGCTGTACGAATGAGTGAAACGAATGAGTGAACCGATCATGTGCCTTTCGTGAGAATCAAAAGCAAGTAGTGTGCAATCCCTCTCTTCCACCCGAGTTGTCCCTCTTAGGTGCCCTTCCGGAGAAATAGATGGCACTAAGTCTAAAAGAGCAAACTGCAACCAGTGCCATCTACTTTCAACCAAACTCCACTTCCTCCCACTAACATATTCCCCGCGAACACACATTTCCTCTTGCAGGTGGTCTTTTTTGAGGGTCCCCTTTCTTCGTGGCTTTTTTTTCGGAAAACCAGAAGGAAAACAACTCTCTTTTCTTCTGGGGGGGGAGCCCTAAAAAAAACCAAGTAAAGAAGGGCCTTGGCGGTTTGAGCTCACTCCAGGAACCAGTGAGCACAGTTTCGGAATTCGCCTTGCCGTCTTTGTGCAGGGCTGCGAAGGCGGAGCAGGTGGCACAAAGGCGCTTCACCTTCGGCCGGGTTGGGCGCCGCCAACAAAAAAAGAAGAAAAGAGAACGGGTGGTGTCCCTCTAAGAGAGTCAGATCACTACCCCCAGATCACCATCCCCAGAAGGGGATACATAAAGGTTGCATAAGGGTTATATACGGGCCCAAAGGCTCTGGTTTCCCCTTTGACAAAAAGCACCCTGGACATATCGCTAGGACCTCGGGGTTTGTGAGAGGGATGGCCAAAACAATCATGTGTGTCAAACGGCGGGATGGACGACCCTCTTCAGAGAGCCTGTGCGGCGTTTGATTTTTTTTTATCCTGACTTGTGGACCTGTGGATTCGCATGGATAAAGACATCCCGTTTGTTGTGCCATTTGAACGGATCAGTTGGTTTGGTGGAAAGCATTAAACTCTGACGGACACAGACACAGACACAAACACAGACACAGACACAGACACAGACACGGACACGGACACGGACACGGACACACACCGGTTGACAAAAAGGAACGGCGAAGGTGAAATCTTCTGGATGAATGGGTGTCGAGAGCCTCAAGCTCTTGAAGACGCCCCCATCCCGAGACCCGCTCGTGGGAAAGGAAGCGGGATATACTCCCCTGCAAACTGCACCGACAAGCAGACAAGGGCGCTTTAAATCAGGGTCCTATAAGATGTCTGCAGAGGTCCTGCAAATGTTAACAAGATCGAAAGTGCGGGGCACATTGGAACCTGAGTCAATCTTGTTCCACCACCCTTGGCCATCTTGCACGGATAGTATCCCAACAGCTTCTGGAGCCCCTCCCGACCTCATCCCCCCCCCTTGCCCCTCACCCCCGAGCCGAGGCACATCCGAGACCCGGAAATTCACCACGCCGCCGTCACCAGGGTGACCCCAAGTCCTCAGAGGCGTGCGAAGCAGCTGAATTGCTCGATCCACGCACATGAAACACCGGACACCCACACACACGCACACACACACACACCCGCACCCGCACCCGCACACACACACACAGACACACAGACACACAGACACACACACACACACAGACACACACAGACACAGACACAGACACAGACACAGACACAGACACAGACACAGACACAGACACAGACACAGACACAGACACAGACACAGACACAGACACAGACACAGACACAGACACAGACACAGACACAGACACAGACACAGACACAGACACAGACACACACAAACACAAACACAAACACAAACACAAACACAAACACAAACACAAACACAAACACAAACACAAACACAAACACAAACACAAACACAAACACAAACACAAACACAAACACACACATATATATATATATATGCAACCCCCCCCCCCATGGACCCTGGTGTTACTGCCTTTTGGGGATGGCAAATCTAGAATTTCCAAGTTTATATTCTCGAAATTTCCAATTGTGGGTCCCCAAAGCGTGATAATTTGGAGCCCGGAGTCCTCCACAATGTCCCAGTATGATACCCTTTGCACATAAGATGTTACTTCAACTAGAATTGGAATATTGAATATAGTTTAGTATGGATATAGTTTTCAAAAATGTGTTTATGTTCAATTACAGCTTAAACAAGCAAATGCTTTCCAAATAGCAGCTACATGCAAATGTAAATATATATTTTCGGCTAAACTCCAACTAATCTATAACACAAGAAGTTAGATGGAAGTTTTTTCCCAAATATAATCCAAGTGGTAAGTATAATCTAAGACGAACAACTCAATTTGCTTTTGATAATATCAAGTGAATAGAGACTACATCTCAAATATAATTCATATTGAATATGGCTAAACATTTGGAAATTAAAAATAGGATTTGTGTTGTTTACATTCTGGCCCTTTTGTAGCATAAGAAAGGTCCGACATTGAACTTGTTAGACGGTGTTCCAAAGGGAAATTTCAAGGGAAGAGAGGTTCAAAATCTAAAACTATCTCGAAACAGGGATTCTAGCTAAACCGTTGTATTTAAAGTTCTATTTGCGCAGGAAAGTTAATTCTATGTCAAAAGGTGGAGGTAGTAGATGAGCAAATGTGGACAGGTAGTTGAAGAGGGTGGGGGACGGTGTGTGAACGTACATACATATGTATATCTATATATACACATACATACACACATATATAGTACCCCCAATGATCCTGCGCCTCCTCATAAAATACTGGAAAATGCAGTATTTTTGAGCGTTGCACCTGCCTTTGTTTACCTCCTGGAAAGGGGTCAACATGAGTATAGCTGACATGAAGCTCACCAAAAGCACTTGAAAGTTTGTCTTAACTTGAAAGTGTGTCCACTGGATCGCTAAGCACTTGAACATTTGCTACTATCGGATGGAAGATTCAATATTGAAGATTACACAGAACACTTTCCTGAGAATTGTCAACCCTGGCCAAACCCAAATAGCATTCAAGTTCTTCTAACACTTGAAAGTGCTTTACCACTGGATTGGGGATCAATATTGAGGAGCCCACAAACCACCACTTTCCTGAGAATCATCCATCCTGGTCAACCCCTAAAATGTTCAAGTTGTTCTATCACCTCGAACATCCGTTACCACTGGATTGAATTTCACGGAAAACTTTTCCGAGAATCTTATTGAACACCGAGAGTATTGGGACAACCCTGGAATTTTTAAAACTTTTTAAAAATTATGGGATTCAAGATTCAAGATTCCCAGAAAGTATTTTCTCAGATTCTTGAATATTGAATCTTGAATACATAATTTTTAATATATATTTCTAAAAATTATGGGATTCAAGATTCAAGATTCAAGATTCCCAGAAAATGGTTTCTCACATTCTTGAATCTTGAATCCCATAATTTTTAATAATTTTTAAAAATGTCTGAGTTGTTCTTGTATTCTTGGATGCATTCAAACTCTTTGAGATTGCAGGTGCTGATGTCATTGCTTTTATCACATCTGTATGCATGCATGCGTATCATATACATGTACGACCCTCCCCCCAATTTTGACACAAATCCAAGAAGCAAAAAGAAGCATAAAACACTGGAAAATACAGGTCAACCGCACCAAACCAGGGTCCATGGGGGGGGGGGTACCATATATATATATATATAAACACACACATATAAACACACACACACACACATAAACACACACACACACACCATTTGTTGTACCATATATACATAATATATGTATATACATATATGTGTGTGTGCGCTTTTGTGAAGGTACCTTTTCAGGTTGGCTTAAAGAGAAACCACAAGCAAACCCGAAATCCATTGTGGGGGTTCAACTGACAAACTTAAGTCCTCATGCAGCACGGGAAGTCGCTTGTGCGGCCAGCAGCCAGGCCATGTGGCGGAATGTGCCTTTCTCCACTTGCGTTGATGAACCAAATGACTTCTGAACTGTGCTCTCACGAAAAGCAAATAAGGGTGGTTGATGTTCATTCTCCCAGCAGGGGGTTGAGTCATTCTTGGGGGCAATGGAATCTCGGACGAGTAAATCCAACCTAAGAATAGAGGGGTGCCCACTAAAAGGGATCACCCTCCTACTAATCAACCAGGCGTTTATACATGCGGGGTTGTCATGAATAGAAAATGGAACCCTATTTTTCTCCTTCCGCCCATGGACGTCGCACGTTTGCGCCGAGCGGCACCACGCTGCCATCGGCCCTGATCGCTGCGAATGCTCCCCCAGAGCCGCAGATGTGCCTCGTGACTTCTGTGGGACACATGGGCGGGGTGGGTCCATCAAGGGCACTTTTTTGTTTCCCGTTAAACCAACTCCAAAGGCCCAAAGGGGTACTATTAAAAGAACGCGCGCACACACACACACACACACACGCACATGTGATCATCCATTCCCAGCTGACAGGAGTCAAGGTGGACAAAAATCACTTTTTGTTGGTTGTTGACCCCTCCTCGCACAACCTGGAACTTGATTTTCTAGTTGGAACCGTAGGGTGGAATTGAAATGGTGTCCGAAAGGTGAAACAAAAATAAGGGTCAAACCTGGAAGCAGCCAAAGTTGCAGTTTGGCCAGAAGTGCCCTCATGAGAATGCTCCCTAAATGGTCAATCCTGTGTCCCCCCTTTTGGGAAATATTGATGCAAAACAATGCGGGAACCACCAAGAACCTCGAAAAGTTTTGGGAACTTCGGGGTAGAGGAAAAGTCTTGCCAAAGAGACTTGACAAAAACCACAAATCTCGGAGAGTGTTCCAACTATGAGACTTCTGGCCGAAGGAAGCAAGGCTGCATGCTGTTGGGCTTTTGATTGGTTGACCAAACGCATGTTCAAACGAGCCAACTCAAAAAGGGAAGCCGCCTGGGTTTCAGGGCAACCCCCAGGCACTTTCCCACCAGCCAATACCAAAAAAACGCCGCCTGGGTTTCAGGCGGGGAACCCCCCCCCTCCCGGCTTTAAAGGGGCAACCACCAAAGCTTCAGGAGACCCCTGACTCCCTGACTCCCTGGCTGAGGCGCTTCACGTGGGAGAGCCGCTTCTGAACCCTGGAGCTTTCGCCGCCGCACTCGGGGTCACCCCAGGACACTACCTGGCAGCGTGGCCCGTCTCAAAAGGAACGCAACCAGCTGGGATGGATGAAGCCCAGCTTGAATACTGGCAACCAGGTACTACCAACTGGTGCGAAGTGGAACTGGGTTGCGGTTTCTTCGGTGTCCCGTTGAAAGCAACTTGCACATAGGCGCCCCATCAAAAACGGACGCTGATCCTCAAACGGATGAAGCCCGGTTTGAAAACTGGTGGGTAATCCACCTACCAGGTATTACCAACTGGTGCGAAGTGGATCTGTTGCTTTCCCGTTGTTGTTTTTTTCTTAAAAAAGAAGAAGAAAAAACCTGATGCTCAAAACGATAATGATTAGATCAACTAATTGGACTGAGTAAATTGGCCAGAAAAGGTCTGCACTGTTTGTGTACCACCAAAATGGTCTTCATTATAGAAAAGGAAGTCCAGGAACTCAGGAAGTGAGTATTTGAGTATACTCCCACAAACTCTAGCTTATACATGGGCTTCCTGATGTGTTCATTAACCAAGCACTTGCAGTCACAAATGTCAAGACTAAAATACCAGGCCAAACTCTCACATTTACAACCAGACTCTCTCACTTCGTAATATGCTTTTCAGACAAGGAGTTTGTAGCTGTTGGGAACACTTTTGCTGCCTGGAATCACAACTCACAAAAGCAACGACAATGTTCTAATGATACTAGAATGTTACAAGGACAAGATGTAACCAAAATAAAGTAGTATTAAAACTTTAACATAGGCACAAGTAAACACATGCAGTGATACATTACCATCAAGAACCCATTAAAATACATGCTAGACTAGTGCGAACCACATACATATGTAACTTCACATACCAAGCGAACCAAACAAAATACGCAAACAGCGCTGGAGCTGGTAAAACCCAAAGACCCCAAGCCCAACCCGCCCACCCCAAGCCCAACCCGCCCACCCCACCCCCACCCGACCCCAACCCTCCCACCCCAACCCTCCCACCCCACCCCACCCACCCACCCCTTCCCCACCCCACCCCCACAGCCGCCCACCCCACCCACGGCCAAACCGCCGCCCGCCGTCGGACCGCCGTCCCACCTGGCCGTTGGGCTTCAGCGCCGCAAAGGCCCGGCCCAGTCGGTGCGCGAAGAGCCGCAAGTTCGCCACCGCCTGGGACGTGCGGCAGTGCAAGCGACCCGTCCCAGTCCAAAGGACTGAAGGGGCCAAAAATCCCATTTCGCACCGAAACCGTGGCTAGAACCAGAACGTTTGTGGGTTCCAGTGGAATCATCATTCTAGGGTTTCTTGGCAGCTAAGAAACCATGTCTGAAACTGGAACGTTTGTTGGCATTTCCAGGGGAATCGAATCATTCCAGCGCTTCTTAAGTGCGAAATCAGAATTTTCTCTGGAGAAGGTTTCCCAGTCATCAAGTCTCACGCCTCTCTCCCGGCACCAAGCTCCACACAAGAGATTGGTGACCAAAAGTCCCAAGGGAGCGGAGGAGGAATGCGTTTCCCTTCACCCACTCCATCCGCTTGCTGGTGCGATAGGAATGACCCCGAACTGACCGAATCGTATCCTTTAAACGAATTCCAGCAAGCCCGTCTAGCACATCCCCCGATTGGTGTGATGGCCAAACGTCATATGCACAAAATGCCGGGGATCCTTTTAGCCACTAAACCACCCTCCCGAGATGGTTGCCGTGGTGCATGCAGCCGACATCATGTCCAAGACGAAGGCTACAAGCAACCTGGAATGAAAAGGGGGTCACCTTCTCCAATGATGTTGGAGGGGTCCAACTCCTTATGGCATAGCCAAATCGTGTCCAAGCCAAACAGCCCGTTTGCTTCTACATGGACCAGAGAACCCAGTGACTACAGGGATGATGTTCCTTTCTCAGTGGGCATCTCACTTCTTGAGCCCCCACCCCCGCACCCCCGCACCCCAAGCCCCCTTGGACCCCTTGGGCCCCCGGGCCACGGCGGTCACGGCGTCGCCGCTCTTCAGCTGGGCCTCCTTCAAGGTCTGCGAGGCCAGGAGCCGCGCCCCGCTGCCCGAGAGCAGCGCTAAGGGGCCCAGCGCCAGCTGGGACCTCGGCCGTCGCGGGCGAGGGTCCGGTGCAACTCAAGGAGGAGGGGTGCGAAAAAACATGGGCCTCGGAAGTTGTCCGGCCAGTTCCCCTAAGACCAACCGCCAGAAAGGGGTTCCGCAAAACAGACCCTGCACCTTGGGAGGTTGGCATGCCCAGAAACCTGACCTAGGTAGGCCATACATGGTTTCTAGGGCAGACTAAAACCTTTCAAACGGATCCCAACCCAGAGGTCCTGAAATCTTGCCGCTTCGCGCAAACACATGAGTGGTGGGCACAACTAGCCAACTAGCACTCAATTGGAGATTTCCCAGGTGGGGCCGCGATTTGGGGCTCCATGTGCTTGATTCACTAGAATCACCAGGGTGTTGGACTGAACTCCTCTGAAAGGAACCCAGGGATGGTTCAGATTGGGACCCCTTTAAACTTACCCAGAAAACCTGTCTGTGAGTGAGCCGGCGATGTTTTGTCGTGTCCAATTTGTGTCCATTTCCGAGGCGCAAAGGAAGAAACCTCGGTTTGTGCGCCGTGAAAAGGAACGGCGTGAAACCCAACACCTTCTGTTGCAGCCGTTTCACAGCGTTGTCCTCCGGTGTTGTGGGTCGCGGCTTTTCCCTCTCGCGCCTCTCCTTTTTGGGACTCGGGTGATCTGCCCCTTTGGGTCAACATATATATATATATATATGTATGTATATATATATATGTGTACATAATAAGCAGAATAATAATAGTATTATTGATAATAATAATAATTTCCTAATAATAATAGCAATAGTAATAATAAGAATAATAATAATTCCTAATAATTAAATATACTAATACTGAGAAGAATAAGAAGAAGAAGAAGAATGATAACAATAACAATAACAAAAACACTACACTAACACTAACACTAGCACTAGCAATAATAATAATAATAACAATAATTAACAATAGTAATCATACTAACGATAATAATAGTAATACATGTTCACATGATGTATATGTATATATGTATAATGTATCATAGTATACATATATGCATTATGTATATATATATATATATATATATATGTATATTGTGTGTCTGTATATGTATGGGAATGTGTCATCGCCGGTGAAACAGACACCCCTTCGGTCACCAGTCGGATGCCAAAGCCGAGGGGCTGGATGGCCTTCCGCAGGTCTCCCACCAGTGCGTCGGGTGCTGCCGGCACCGGTACCTCGAGGCAACGTCGTAACTTTGGCTGTGGCTCAAAGTGTACCAAAAGGGCACCTTCATGACCCAAAGACTAAAACCTGCGTAAACCTAGCTGGTGATTTTTGAGCACCCATCTCTGGCAGAAAGGATCTTCCATCAGGTCGACCAGCAGCCATCATACACGTTTTTTTCGCCGAATCTCTGTCATGGATCGGCTCCCGGGCAACTTAACCCCCCTCCCCCGTGCCGGCTTCACCATCCAACAATTTGTGCCGTTGAACCGGCCAGTGTGTGGGAGGGTATCCTTTGAAGCTTGGCTTAGACAGAAACCAAAAGGGAAGCATATTGTTGGGGTGAGCGGCAAGCGGGAAACAAAAAAGAGAGCCAGTCGTTCCAAGCCTGACCCGCCCCCGGGCGCACTGTCCTCCCACTGAGGAGGCTGACGTTGATAGTGAGCATGTCGGCTCGGTCAGCCGGGTGTCCACAAATAGAAGATGCGCAGAACTAGGACGATGGGCCGCGGCAAAACGAGCCCAGGATGTTCCAGAAGCAGGAACACGAGATGGGGAAATGTTGGTACCCTTGAGGCGATCTTGCTTTTCAAATCAGCCCATCACATGTAAGCAAGAACATCCCACCAATGGCTCAGTTTTGGCCCAGATGAACAGGCGCCGCGGATGGGAGGTGCACTGATACCAAACACAAACACAAACACACAAGTCACCAGAAAAAGCTTGGGATTGATGCTTGAACTGTCCAATCACGACGGTGTTTGCAACTCACAGCACTCCCATCGCGGCGCGACTATGCAGTAGTAAGTAGTACGCTAATCGGATATGAGTCTGAGCCAAGCTTGCGGCAGGCGTTCCAATGCAGGCGAAGTCTCTCCAGTTTGGTGGGCATTTAGGGATTCCTGTCCAGCAGCCACTTTTGAGGTGGGTGCGTACTGTGCGCCATCTGCAGTGATCCTATGAAGAAAAAAACAACTAGGCCAATCTTTGAAGGCGCGCCGGCAATTGCGTCTGCGCCCATGCCAGGTCATGAATCTTAGGGTATCTTCACTTGTTCGCTTTAACCTCGTTCAAGAGCCCTGGGCCCTCATGATGGTTCCCATCCAGATCTTGCGCAGTTCAAGGTGGAAGCTTCAAAAAGCCATGAGTCACTGCAAGGCTTTATCCTTCCAAAGGCCAGGCGCACCCCGTTCTGCAACCCATTTTGGGGGGCCCCAAAGGGTGAAATGGAGGTCAAGAAAGATTCGGAGTTGGAACCCCCCCCAAAAAAAAGGAAAAGAAAAACGGCATAAACAGGCTCATGGGAACAAGGCAGATCTTCCCCTACATTGAAGCGAACTCAAAAAGCAGGGGACCCGTTCGATTTGCCCAACCCCAAACCTGCTTTTGTCAGTCACTTGGCCTGTCGGCTTGTGGCTTAGGAATGAGTTCCGTACGGACAGGACTACTTGCTTCCGATCTTGTCAGAAACTTGGGTGATCCCCCTGCGCCACTTGTCTGTCCTGCTGCACCCCTGCTAATACATGAGTGCAGCAGTTTTGGGTGATCCCCCTGGTTCTTGTGAAAATAGCGGTTCCATCTGGAGGATGCTTTTTGGAGGCTGCCCTTCTGGTGTAAAGGGCCACAAAAGGAGGTATTCCAGGGGGTCGCCCTATTTTCACGAGCCATGCCCACCTATCCTGAGACAACCCCAACCGCTCTCCGAAAAAGCTCTCTGCATCCAAAAAGCTCCGTCCAGGAGAGGTTGCCTCCGATCTCACCGAAGTCCAGATCCTGCGAGTGAAGACAGGACTCTGCAAGTCTCTGAGAGCCTGTGGAGTGTGGATAGAATTGTAATCAATGGCGCATGGCTCCTCAGAATCCATCACACCTTCTGCTCGGCCCCAGGTGGCATGTTTCATGTCACCGGGCTTTCGAAGGGGTGCATGTGTGTGTGTGTGTGTGCTCAATTTTTGTTACTCTCATTGCAGAGCGAACAAATGCCTCTCTGGACCTGAGGAAGGCCTTGAATGTGGCTTTAAAGGTTGGCCTCACCCCCCCCAAATTGGTGGTGTTCCCTTTCCTTCAAAACCACCAAAACAGGGGTACCAACTCAAAAGCAGACACACCCAAAGAAGCTTCGGTCACACCTCCTGAATCCTGCCCGTCGGTTGTAGGGGGTCAAAGCCTTTGGTGGTTTTTCGGTTGGACCTGGGGGGAAGCTATGGCCGGCTTGCTGCACGCACAGAAGACAGTTCTTTCTGGTGGAAGTGGCCTTGTTCGTGAGCAGATGAGCTGGCTTTTTTATGACAGCCACCTACCAGCAAATGAACAATTCGGAGGTTTGCCTTGGAAAACCATCCAAAAGACGGCAGAAAGCTTTGTGAAGCCCGAGCTACATGCCAACGCTCGCAGCCTTCGAAAGCAAGACTTCTGCATGCCATCACGAGGCGCCTAAGCCTCCAGCCCTGGGTCTGTGTGTGGTATGTGTGTGTGTGTGCCTGTTTGTTGAGGGTACTCCTTTGAGCTCAAAATGCAGTTGGACATCTGCAGAATTGGGGCTTCAGTCCATTAAGTGAACATGTTCTTGGGCTGCTCAACATTTCTTTGTGGGGGCTGTTTCCCTTTAACCGTTTACAACACATGTTTGACTTAAATGGACCCAGCGCACGTGTCTGACGCTGTCTCCGAAGTCGTTTCCGGGTACCCAATTTAAAAGGATGGCTCGGGTGTCCCCATACCATAGGTGTTCACCGATTGGGGTACCCGGGTACCCAACACAACCCTTCTTGGCCCCACGGAAACCAGAACATTGAAAGGTGCCCGTTGGCTTCTTCACTTGGGAAGCCAAAAGGAAACATTCCCACAAGATGCCAAGGGATACCCTCCCACAAACTAACATGGAACCTCACAAGAATTATCTTTAAAAAGGAAAATGGTGTTCCAGGACCCCCTGTCAGGTTCCACAATAATTGGCGAGTAACTTCCAGTCAAACTTCCCATGTTCGGGCTGTTCGGGAATTCCAATTCAAATCCAAGTTGGATATGAGCCTATGGTCCATCCCCTTTGACAAATACCGGACTCTCCTGGTCTGTGAACTCGATGTTGGTGATCTCTGGCGCGGTGTCGCTCACCAAAATCCCCACCGGAGTGGTCTGCTCCAAGAGCGAGGACCTCATGGAACCAAGGACTCAAGTAGATATCTGTCAAAATCTGGGACCCCAAAACGGCCATCCGTGTTCCAAAGATGGCGTCCTTCAAGGTGAAAAGGGGGGTGCCAAATTTGGCAGGTGAATGGGAAACCAAAGGGGAAGCCACACATGTTGGCTCCGGAACCAATTTGAGGAAGCCCATGTGCCAACAGATTCGGTTGCTCCACACATTGCATACCACATGTGTGTCGCTTCCACCAAGTCGCCGAAAAGGAGTCCCCGAAAAGGAGATTCCTCTACAAATGGCTATTGGGCAACTTCAGCCTAAGCTGCAGGGGCGTAGAGGGTAGACGAACACTGATATCGCTGCAATCATTCACAAGAGTCCGGAGTGATCAGCACCCAATCTAACGAAATTGAGAGACAGGCGTGGCCCGGACCGGCAATACTTGCTCAAAAGTTGTCCATGCCTACTTGCTACTTTTGGGGCACAAATGCCTGCCCATCTAGGACATCCCGATTTGGCAAACGCCAAATCAAACGCGTTATCGCTCGTGACTCAGGCGGATTCGGCACGAAGCAGCCAACAGGCAGCTGCATTTTAGGGCCGAGCGTGGCTGGTGGCAAGGGATAGGATCCGCCTCAAGTCGAATTGACCTTCGAGGATGGCCTTTTGAGAAGTCAGTCTTAGGTTCTTGGGGTCCGGGGCGTCACCATTTCGCCTCAAATGAGATAAGAAAACCAGACCGGCTCAGCAATCCTCGCAACCTCTTGCCAAGCGGCTTGGTGAAGACGTACATGTAGGGGTAGGTACCCAGATAGGTGTCCTCAGCCCGTCTTCCCCAACAGACCATGCGACGTGACTGATTTCGGTCTCGACAACTTCACCGCATCTATCTTGAGAACACGTGAGCAACTGTGGATAATCAAAATCCATCTCGCACGGATTGGTACAGTAGTTTTCAACGGCTTCATCTATACCAACTGGTGCAAGGTATTGGTCATTGCCATGGTGGCGCTTCATCAAACCAGAAACAAACTCGCAGCTGCGAGCAAAGCATGCAGAAAAGAAAACAACGCATGTTCTGCGCCCACTTCCTCACGTTGGGCTCTACCAATGGATATGCCTTTGCTACAATTCAGAGTAACCAAGTTAAGCCCCGCACAAAACATTGCCAAAAAGGGTACTGTTGACACCTTGAGCCAACAAATATTGCTTGATCAGTCCCAAAAAACGAACATTGCAGTGGCTCAAAAAATGGGTACCCCAACCCGCAGTGCGTAGACACAACAAAATCTGCAGTCCCCCAAATCTGCAAGATTTTGAGCCAACCCCCATATCAGGATCCATGCAGCAGTAGATGTTGGATCTTGGCCAACATCCGGCTTACAAAAAGAACGTGTATCTACAACAAGATTATGTTTCATACTTGGAGGTTTCTCAAAATAGCAATCCCGTAAAATGTTTGTCATCATTGTGGCTTCCTTTTGTACCCAAGGATGCATGTAAAAAAGAAAAAACAACAGTTAGAAACTCTCATTTCGTGAAAGTTACAAAGACCCCGCTTTGATTTGAAAACCCCTGCCAGGGGCTTTGGGCACAAGCGCCAGCCACCCGAAATCCGCTTGCCGGGCGACAACGGGGATCTCCAGGTGGTTGTCGCCCTCCACCGGCAGCTCGCCAATGACGCTGCGGTACTCGAAGGTCTGATCCTGGCCATGCCAAGCTCTTGACTCTTGATACTGTATGATATCTATATAATTATATATATATATACGTATGTATTTTGCATGTGTATAGATATGTATACACACATATGACATATATATATATATATCTGTATTTATACATATATGTATACATATAGCGTTTTATTAATATATGTGTTATGACAACAACACAATATGTATATATATATATGTAGATTTGTATTTGTCTATATGTCAAATTAGGGGGACCCAAAACTGGGGGGTCAAGTTGGTTTAAAGGGAAACCAAAACGATGAAATACGACTTATTTGAACAAAACAAAACACATCAAATAAAAACAAACCACCAAGAAGCACCCGTGACTCAGATTGTTCGATGTCGGGGCTTCCTCGTTCCTCTTTGTCTTGCAAACAAAAGCTGGCACTGCTTTCGATGATGCACATTGGTTGACTTCAATCTGCGAGGGCCCGCGAGGGTGTCTCTCAGAGCGTTGAAGAACCGGGCGTGTAGTGGTTTCTCCTCTTCACACCCTTGACGTCACATGCTTGAGGGCTACTTGGCTGTGCCAGGGAGAAGCGATGCCTAACCTCCCAAAGTCCAGATGGTGCTTCAATACCTTGGATCCTGCTTCGATTCAACGAACAGTTCCCAGTTCAAGGTGTTGATCCCTCTTCGCCCTTCGTCTTCGCCATCCTCAAACAAGCCAAACGC